TAATTCAAACAAAAATAAAAAACATATTTTTTATTGAATTAAAGGTAAAAATATGTGAAATTCAGCTGATTTGAATTTATTATATTTATTATTAGAATGTACTTTTGCTAGTAGTCTTAATATGCAACAATGAATAAATAAAAATTTTTAAAAGATATTTTTGAAAATCTAATTCGAAATTACATAATGTTTTATAAAGTATTATAAGTAATATTTGCTACAAATGTATTCTTATAAATAATACCTAAAATATGATGTACCATATCACACGAAATTATAAGAAATCAGATCAATATATTCTAAAGCTGCTAATAAGCCTATTCTAAAGCTGCTTTTTGCTTTAACAAAGACTATTTATGTATTAAGTACGTAACGAAAGCAACCCATTCTCAGTTTTTAGAACAACATTTTGGGTTATTAAAAAGGACTACTTTTCTTATTTAAAGAGAACCATTTCCGTTGTGATATTTGTTATGACGTTAACGTTTACAGTAATTTTAAAGCATTTTTTTAGAAAGCGATTTGTACTGTTTTATTGACAGTATTGTATACAATATTGATACACAATTTATTAGACGAATATCACTATTAAAAAGGTAAAAGGGTCGTAGTCAGATATAGGTTTTCACAAATGTAATCGATTTTCATTTGACTGAAATAGTTTAAACAATTTTAAAGTATAAAGAAATTATTTTAATTAATTAAAATGAATATCAAAATTAAAACTTTATACTGACATAATTTTGTACATAATATTGACCCTCTTTAGATCGTATTACTGACACCAGTTTTTAAAGGTAAAATACTCCGAACCTGTAGTAAATTCTTAGTGTCAGAATTCGGACATTAAAAAGAAAATTCAAATTCGATTTTAATTAAATAAATACGAAAATAAAAATTTAAATATTTTAAAAATGACGTAATTTATAAAAATACGAATTTTTGACGTATTACTGACACATATGTCAGTAATAGAAGCATGGTCGAATTTTAGATGTTTCTAATACTGATAGAAATTATTTGTTAAAATTCTTATTTATTTAATGTTTTTACTCCGAATTACTTATAAAATAAGATAAAAAATAATCAAAATATTTAATTTAATATAAATACATATATTTTTAACCCTCAAATAAGTCAAAAAGCAATAAAAACAAAATCGGAAAAATTAAGCAAAAAGTATAAGAAATTCTCCAATTCAACCCACCATTGCTATGTCTATGGAAACAAAACTGATTTATGCCCAATATTTTGGAGTTATTTCAAAACTAAATAAAAGGAAGTATTGCGATAATTTGAATTAATCTAGAAATAAAAATATATATATATGTTGTATAGAGAAAATCTCTTAATAATTATAAAAAACCTCATATATGTCAGTATTACCGCCACTGTCAGTATTAGCTACACTTACCTTATATATTATAAAAATCAAATCATCAAAATAAATCATCAAATGTCAGCAGGGTTTGAGTAGCAGCCATACTCCAAAAGCTAATTTTAAATATTTAGAAAAATAATAAAATCAGATTCGTAAAACTTGTACGGGTCAGATATGTCCCTGATAGCCGGAATAAACCGACTGAATTATATCCTGCACCTCAATCGAAAAAAATTCAAATTGTTCGTTTAATTTAAAATCGGTCATAAAATTTGCTACTTCGTTTGACGGTTTAATTTTTCATTTAAACTTAAGTTATATTTAGTTTCGGGAAATATTGGTAACAGATTTTATTTCAAAGCCTTACTATTTGACTATGTGCGATTTCATCCAAGGGATTTCCAAGTTAGAAGGTTTAGACAAGGATTAGTCTGTAGGATTAGGATTTGTAGGTCTGTAGGATATCCAAGTTAGAACCTTTAGACAAGGATTAGTCTGTGATGTAAATCCTGATTAGATTATAAGCAAATTCCATTCAAATAATCTTACATTTATTTGATTATTTTTAAGTAAATTCATCATGATTTAGTTAAAGATTACTTCAGTTCAAATTAGAAACGTAATAACAATTTCAGCTCAATCATAAAGGTAACAGTAGTTCATTAAAAGTTATTGGTTTTCCAATTTAAATTTACATTTAAAAATTTTTCTTATTCTTAAAAATATCCTTATAAAATAAAAAATATCATTTTGAATTTCTTTCATGATTTTTTTCGCAATTCATTTAAAAATTTTAAATACTTTAAAGAAAATGAAAACTGTCTGAGAATTTTAAGTTAATTGAAATTTTTTGAAAAGTCTTTGAAAAATCAGTTAATTGAAAAATATTAAATAGCTAAAAATTTCATTAAATTTCAAATTAAGCCAAACTAACGATTCTATGAAAAAATTCTATTCAAAATCATCTTAAATTATAAAAATATTAACCATCAGACCTTATAATAGTGTAATGGCCTTCTGTTTAATAGAAATACTAAGAATAAGCTGGTTTTTTTCTTATAAATTTTATATGTACGTTGTTAGGTTCATATAAATATCTATGTATATAACAATTTTCATATTTTACAATTGCCTTTTAGCCCTTGAACTAAATTAAAGGTTTCCATTTAAAAAGATTTTGATATACAAAACATTTAGATATATTTGACAACAAATATAGAAAAAATGTATACAGTATTAAAAACTTTACATTGAATAAAATAGAACTAAGAAACTAAATTATAAAGGATATTATAAGGACACACGGTTACTTTGACTTTCTTTCTATATGTGGAATATAAATGGAATGAAAAAACGTATAGAGATTAGCAACAATAGAAGAAGATAGAAATCTCACTTTCTGGAAGAGAATTCAGTCTCACAATTTTAAGAATTTGCTAAAAAACAAAAAAAATCTGATGTGGTCAATCATATTTTCTGAATGTTGTTTACAAATTTATTCGTAATAGTTCGACGAAAGCATTTCTAGTTAATATACTCCCAAAAATTTCTTAGCACTAGTTCACAAATTGAAGTTAGATTTTCCAGAAAAGGTTCCGAGCAAATTTAAGAAGTTGAACCCCAATTTTTATTAAAAATCCGTTGTTTAAGTTTTTGAGCTATTAAAGTTGAAATCCTGCAAAAATCCTAATATTCCAAAAAATCTAATTTAAGCTTTTAGAATTTACTAACACATGATTGCTTTATTCAAGAGCGTCTCTTTATAACAAGTTTTCTTTTAACATTCCCCGTATACAGAGAATTGCATTTACATTGTAAATTTATGTGATGTGATCACAAGATCTCCCTTTTTCCCTATAATGCGTTGAGTAAAATTAAATAAGAAAAAAAAAAGAATGACGATTTTTTTTATTTGAAAACTTTTATAGTCGTGCTCTCAGTTATTTCATTTTATTTTAACTCTAATTAGAATCTATATGCAAAATTTTTTCCCTCTCTAAATGGAATGTTGGCTTAATAGACGCAAAAGATAAAAGTAAGTGTGTATGTAGAGAAAATTTATTATATTGTCTTCATGGAAAATAATTAAAAAAATATTTTTTAATTTTTTCTTTTTAATTATTAAAATAAATTTTAATAAAATTTAAATTAAATTTTGATATTGAAATTATAATGATTTCTTTATTTCTAATTTTAAAATTTAAAAAATATTTCACTTTGTGTCCTATTTGTGTCCTTTATGATAGTTGTTTGGTGAAATTCTCGGTATAATTATATTTCTACTGTGATTTCAAGATTTATGATACAGATTTAGCTGGTAAAAAATATTTTGAAATATTAAAAACACAATACCTAAATTTGGTTAGGAAAAATTTATTATTGAACTTTTGAAATTTTTAAACCGAAATAATATAAACCAAATTTTTGTTTTGAAATCAGGGCTATTAATTTTCTGCGAGACTAAAAATTAAAATTTTATTTTGCTCTTGATATTTAAACAAAATTTGTTTTGTTTAAAATTCGTTGTTTAACAATTATTGAAATGACGGGATATTGAATGAAGGTGATAAGTTTTCTTACATTTTAATGCCTATAAAATACTCTACTGACGTTGGGATTTACAGAAGAACTTTGCTCATAAATTCTTAATGTTCCAGTAGTTTTGTGTTTTAATTCTCTGTATATTCTAAAGAATTGACAATGTATAAAAATCAAAACAATGTATAAAAATTATTATGAATTAATGACAATGTAAAGTAGGAAGCATGTTCTTCATAAACTTTAACATCCAGCCAGTTGTTCATTGGTAAAATAAAGATAACAATTAGAAATAAGTGCTAAAGTATTCATTAGCTGTAACAAATAAGTCCCTAATTATTTATTACCTTCAATGTTATAATTTCAAGATTATAATTCGAGATTTGAAAATTCACGCTTACACTTAAATAATATCTATATTGTGTCCTTTGGTGTTACATTGACTCTGTTCTCAATTTTAATATCAAGCTTGCGTTATTATTACTCGCATTTATATATATACATGTGTCAATCTCTTTTGAAAATTTTCAAAAAAAAAAAACATTATTTTTTTTTTGGTTCATCTAACTAGAAAATTATCAATTCGATTCTCTTCTCTTTCTTTTTTACAAATTAAAAATTTTTTTTAAAAATTTCCAATTAAAACTTTTCATTCTTTTGTTTTAGTTGTAAAATTCGAAAAAATTCTGGAAAATCAATTAATAAAAAAATTTGATTTCACTGATTGAACGAGAAAAGCAAAAAGCAAAAAAACTAGAACAAAGCGAGAAATAAAAATGCAACTTTGTTATAAAATTGCATATTATATTTGACCTTGAAATTTTGCTCAAGGATAAATATTTTAAATATTTCATGTATATATTTTGAACTAATCATATGCATTTATCCTTTTTTTATCCTTTCTTTAATACTACCTTTAAATAGTGTTGTAGAAAATTTATGTTATAAAACAATAACAAAAAAAAAATTATACAGCTATACATACACAAAAATAAATGAGTGTGTTGGAAAAAATCGAATATAAAAGTGCTTTATATTTACATATAAAATTTTTTATATATGTAATGGTATGTATATTCACCTTGCTTGAACTCTTGCTTCATAATGTTGATCAGGATCTAAGCCACGTATCATATAACTCATCCCTTGTGTATAATGATGTGATAATGGTACTGCTGGTAATACAACATCTCTCCAATCATTTCTTGGCCAATGCATATTTATATAACCACCACGATGCATATGACTATTACTATTACTATAGATTTGAGATGATGATGATGATAAGTGTAATGGCTGTGATTGTTCAATTGTGTTATCAACCTCATGTCCTTGCGGTAACCTTCGGAAAAATAATTTAAATTCTTCAACTGGTGAATGTGAATCAACCGTCCATGAAATATTGTATCTGTAAGAAAAACAAACAAAAAAAAAGAGAGCAAAATTAGAAATGAAAATTAAAAGAGAAAAAAAAATAAATTAAAAATTATTGTATATAATATGTTGAAGTAAAGAAGAAGAAATAATATTAGAGAGAGACAGAATATTCTGTATATATATAAATGACGATATCGTAAATTAAAATGCATTCGAATTTTAAATGAAAAAAAAATTGGAAAATTTTACCAGCATATTTTTTATAGTGTTAACATTGAACATAGTAATAACATTTATAGTAAAACATTGAACGAGCATCGAACGAGGTTTGAGTGAATTTCACTACTATAGTATATTTCTGAAGGTGGTACAAAGAGAAAAAGAGAAAATTTTTTACCTTATTCTCTTATTTTTGTTTTTCTTGTTTTATATTATTTTGTTAGTTTTCATAGAAAATCGAATAAATTTTTCTTTTACATGTGAAAATTTTGTATTGAAAATATTTTCATTTGAATTTCTGGAACGTTTATATAAATATTGTACAGCACCTTCCATCTACATACATACACGTAATAATATGCATATTGTGATTTCAGAATGATTGAAGGACAGCTTATTTAACTTATTTGAACTCGTATAATTTTTTTTTTATAAAAAAAAGGGTCAAAATATTCACCTTAATTGTGTATGTAGGTACAACATTTTTTTTTATTAAAGTTTTATTTTATTGTTTATCGAACGTATATTATTAATGACATGAAAGGTTCGTTTTAAAAAATAGTATACATATGTCAAATATCAAATATATATGTGTGTGTATGCATTTTTTCTTTCCTTTTTGAAAAAAAAAAAATATTAATTAAAAAGTCCAAAAAGCACTAAGTTAATTGGATGTTTATTTTGAGGTTTTTAAAAAGTCAACAAAAATTTGTGGGTTAAACGGATTCAAGAAAAATTTAAAGTTAATACTATTATGCAATAGTGTCGCTTTTAGTACATTTTAGGTTTGTTATAAAAAGTAACAAAGGTTTTATTCGGAGTGATATTCATGGGTGATATTTATTATTGTGTGTGTTATTTATGTCAAATTAAAGAAATTAACAGATTTTTTGGTTTCCTTATTTCTAATAATTTTATTCATCAACTTGTGTTGGGAAACATGGTTGCCCCGGTTTAATTGGGTCGGATTTTTTGCACAGAGAATCCCAGTGCTTTGAGGTCGGACAAGTTTTTCAATATGCAGCGTCATAGAACGGACTGTGGGATGCATGAACCGGTGACGATCCGGTATATTGAGCGAAATTAACTTGTATTCGTCTGTTTTTTGTACGAACGTAAGTAAGGGGGCGATTAAGGGCAGACTTTACGGTAGCATTGATTTTGTTTAATAAAATAAATTTTATTTTATTCTCAATTTGTGTGACGCTTTCTATTAACTCGCCGTGTATTAGACGTTTGAGTTCGGCTCTTTATTTCTTAATTTTCCTATATTAGTCTTACAATGTTACTACTATGGCCCACTCCCCCTATTAAAACTCTTGAATTAAATAATTCCGAGTAATATCATTAAATTTCCAACTCGAAACTTAAAATAATTTATAGATTAATTATAAAATAATTTTTAATAACACGCTTCTAAAATTTTTAATATTTTATTTATACCTTATTAATAGGTACTAAATTTATGCAATTTATGAAGAGAGAATCTTGAACATTTCTTCTTTTATAAAATTACTATATGGGTATACCATACAGTATGAGGGCATGATATTAATCTGATTATACCAGTATATACTCATATGTATTTGTTATAAAAGTCATTTGTTAAATTTTTTCAGAAAATTTTAATATAAAAATATTTCAAAAAGGAAAATGGGTTATTCTAGTTCTTTTACAAAATAAAAAAAAGGAATGTAAGAATAATGAAATCTATTCATGTGAGAAGAGTTATGCAGAATAGGTTAATAAAAAATAGAGTAGAAATGATGAAGAGAACGATATTTAAAAAATCTTGATAAGTTTTAGATTAAGTTAAGAACTTTTTAAAAGGTTACATAAATTTGTTTTAGTAAAAAAAAAACAACTGTAATTGTAAAAAATTGGAAACGGGCTTTAATAAAAATAAAATTCATTCAATATTTTTTACAGAAAAAAAAATGCAAATTGAAGTTTTGCAGTTGATGGATATACAAAGCAAGTTTGTGATTTAAAATGATGGGGTCGAAGGAGGCAAAAACAAAAATATAACAAATTTTTGTTACTTTTTAAGATTCTAGTGGAAAACTTCAATCTGAACGACTCTATTATGTATGCTGCAAAACAAAAAAAAAAAAATTCAATAAAAAGAATGGGGAAAATTTTAGAAATATTTTTGAAGAGTTCATATACAAGATTTCATATACATACACACGTTTGTTAAAAGTGGAATGGAGAGAAATTCCTTTCAAGTAAAAAAGTAAACCCGTATTACAGTTTATGCGAACAAATAAATACGAGAATATTTTTTTTTTTTCCTGACTTGAAATAAGATTTTATTTTCTGAAACTTTTAAAAAGTTTTAGAAGTGGACAAAAATTATACATAATTTTTTTTTACATTATTTTTAAGGAAAAAAATCAAATATTTTGGTTGAATGTTGGAAAAAGAAAAACGAAATCTATTTGAATAATAAATTTTATTTTGTGTATTCTTGATTGATTATAAAGTTGAATTGAAATTAATTTTAGAGTACAAAATAAAATGGACACAATAACAATATGCGAGTGTAGTTGAGTGTGTATTTGAATGTTTATTTGTAATAGGAAAATATTTTATTTACAGTTTTATCTACTATTTTCCTTTTTCAATTTATTAGAATAACTTTATTGAAATGACATTTCAAGTAATATAAAATTTAAAATATCGAAAAAAAAAAATTTATTTAATTTTATTAAAATGTTGACGTTTTAGAAAATTCAATTTTTTATTTTTAGAATTAAAATTATTTTTTTTTAGTTTATTGACTTGAATCGTGTTGATAATTCGAAAAAAATTGCAATTATACAATATTAAATGAAATTAATTGTGTAACAAAAATGTTTATGCAAATAGTAAATTATGTACATACTTGTGGAAGTTATATATAGTAGTAGCAGTAGCAGAAGTAGTAAGAGAGGGGGCTCCACTAGTACAAACTATCCACAAAAATTGCCAGCTCGCATCCCCCCACCGGTTTAATGGCAGCCAATTCCGCCACCCTCAGCACCCCAAAAATCTCTGCCTGGAAAACCCCACATCCATCAGGCAGCCTAATCGATAGCCTAATCGATAGCTCTATCCCCAACTCCTCGGAGAAGACGCCCACCCCTGTACCATCCATGGTTCTAGAACCATCCGTGTAGATGGACAACCCCTTATGCATGCATAACCTCTCCGCACTCCAATCCTCTCTTTGTGGAATCACAACCCCGTAATCAACCCTCCAGTCGGTATATGGCACTACAAAATCAAGCCTAATGCCCATAGGCTGCATTTCATATTCTCCCAGAAGCTTACTGTGTGTCTACCGCCGCTTTCACCTGCTCACTCACCAGATCCAAGACGAGAATAACCTCCAAACCTAAAGTGGGTGTAGTACGCAATGCACCAGTCACCCCAACAAACGCCATACGTTGCACCCTCTCTAACTTCCTCCTCTCCCTATCCCGAAGCACCGCTCGCCATCAGACCAATGCCCTATACGTCAGGATACGACTAACGACACACTCATACAACCAGTAGACCAGTCGAGGACTAACTGCCCAACGTCTACCAGCCTCCCCATTGCAAACAAACAACGCATCTGGAAGTAATCAACTCATTACTTCCGGATATTTACCTGAGACCAGGATTGCCACATCATCCGCATAGGCAGTAACTCTACACCTACTATCCCCCATGAGCTTAAGATAACCTTCCATAAGCAGGACCCACAAATATGGCGACAGGACCCTCCCCTGAGGAGTACCTGTCACCGACAACACTGCCACCCTAGTAGTAAGCATTTGCCCTATCCATCTGATTATGCCTTTCTATACCCCTACAACCTCAAGAGTCTCTACGATAGCCTCAACTTTCACACTATTGAAAGCACCCTACACATCCAAGAAAGCGTCCAATCTATACTCCTTGTACTGCAGAGCCACTTCCACCTGAGTGACCACCGCGTGCAGCGCCATCTCCACAGATCTCCCTCTCAAGTTGTATAGAACTTGAAGTCACACGGAGACTCTAAAACATTTCGAGTTGTAGAGAATAAGGAAAAAGGCATATAAAATCAAATGAAATAAATATGAGCTTTGTTTTAAAGATTTTTTTTATGTACATATATATTTTGCTGCATTTTGTTATACATATGTGTATGTATATTATATAATATCAAAATTGCTCTCTTGCGAGAGAGCTTTCCACTACAATCAAGTAGCGTTATTTTTACACTTAAAATACTAACAATTGGAAAAACAAAATACAATATATGTATTTCGACACTGGAGAGGTTCTTCAAGTGGTTACACACTAATATGCACATTTTACATACATATGTATGTTTTAAATTTAAACTTCTTGGTTTCGGCATATAATATATTTTATGACAAAAGTAGATGAAGAACAGGGAACAAATATTTTTTCTATCTATTGAGTTTTTAATTCATATGTCATACAAAGTAAACATTTAAGAACAAAAACTTAGATATGTATGTATCAAAATCATACTGAACTTTTCTTACATTACATTGTTGTTGAAGTGTAATATTAACCTTGCTGTTGAAGTATAATAACACTTTGTACTTAAAACCTTTATATTTATAAAAATTTTTATACCTTTATAATTATAAAAAAGTTACTTAATAAAACTTAAAAAATCCCGTCGCGTAGTTGGATGCTGCGAAGTTTTAAATGCGATTTGCTCGATTTAAAAAATATGAGTTTGAATCAAAAATGCACTCAGCCGATAATCTAAAAATGTTCCTGAAAAAGCATCGGTGATAGTGCCAAATGAATTGTTTTACTCACATTTGGTTGAATGCCACTTTCACTGATATTTTTTAAAAATTAAAAAATTTTGAAAATTTTTCGAATTAAATAGATTTTTACTACTTTTATTGGAACCGAATTTTATTTCAAGTTAAGCGAATTCAAATTACATATGTAGAATAATTTGTATCAATAAAATTATGCTAATGTTTAAGACAAGCCAAGGAAATTTTTGAATTTAGAAGTAAAAGAAAAATTTTATTATGTAACTCGCGTCAATTATTTATTTAGCGGTTAATCAATATTTATCGTAAACTACGAAAATAAATCGAAACTTATTTACCTACTAAAATATTATGAAATTAGATTTAAATTGAAATAATAAAGAACTGAAATCTTTAAAATATTATAAAAAATTTTACCATTTAACACACACTACGTATTACTTAAATCTGTTGTTAATATTGGATATTGGTTATAACATACTTAGAAGCACATTTTTATAAACTTTAATCACATTCTTACCTATCTTTATATTGGCTTATAGGTGGTGAACTAAATATTGCTGTGCTAGGTTTTCCACTTAATTGTAATGTTTTTCTTGATTTACCAAGTTGATTTTCTGCAACACATGAGTAATTACCAAAATCTTGTGGATGAACTTTTCTTATAATTAATGTATGACGTGATCCACGATTTTCCATAATGTGACGTTCTGTTGTATCTAATTGCATTGTCTCTTTAAACCATATCACCTATTTTGAAATGAACAAGAATATACAAAAATAAATTATAGCTATATTGAAATATTTTTAATGTAAAATAAAAATTTCAAATTAAAATAAAAAAAATTATTTAATTTTATTATTGGATGAAACTAAATTGAAGATATCAAATGTCGTCTTAAAATATGTTTAAAATACCAATAAATTTGTTTGTCATTTTATTCCCGCAAAATGAAAAATCCTATTCGCGTTAAAAGAGAAGTGCATTGTCTTTTAAATGTCATTTTGGTTTAACCTATAAATTATTTTACGTAAAAAATGAGAATATACGAGTAAAAAGCACAAAATAAAGAGAAAAAAAAAACCATAACAAAACAACATAAAGATGTCGTTGATTTCATCGTATTAGGGTTACCGTATGAGCATAAAACTTGGACTATATGAAATTTTACAAAATCTAAGGACTGCTGAATTAATTGCAGTTAAACATGAAATTAACTGCATTATTTCTGTGATATTAGAGAATTCAGCAATTACTACTTATAAGTTGAATCCAGTAGCAATATAGTAATACTGAAATTTTAAATATCGGGGGATGTGCTTGTTGTAAGACAAGTGTTTTAATCGGTTGTTTTCATTAAAATTTTTGTTAACATTTTCAGAAACCTACTCATTGAACACCAGAAATTTTATGTACAATTTTAAATTTAGTTGCTTCGATTGTTCCGTCTTTTAGTTACATATATGCGTATGGTAACACTTAAAATATTCAAAATTTATTTTAAGCTTCTTTTAGCTGTGTGAATCTTTGTTTTTATTCAAAGAATAAAAACTACATTATGATCAACCTATAAACCTTTTTCTTATCTTCTTAAGTGAAGTATTAGAGCGTTAGTTTTATAGAAAATAGCAAAGAAAAAAGAAACCTCTATCAATACGGGGGTCGTTATCATTTTTATTTTACCCGTATATATTTTTAAAACGCAGAAAAGAAAACAAAACCTAAAAGGACTAAAAAAAACACAAGAAGTTTGCAAAATCAATGAAAAATGAAATGAAAAGACAAAGCTTTTAAAATCTTAAAATATCGCTATCGCTGTGATAAATTGATTCAAAATGAATTCAGAGCAACTATTTTGAGATTCACAAGTGCAACAACGTTTATTCTAATCGCAAAAGTATAATAACATCCTTCATATAATAATTTTAGAATCTCTTGTAGCTATTATAGTTTTTTCTATATGAATTGACAATTTTTTTTTCTAATAATCTGAAATACAATAAATTGTAAAAACAAGGTAAGTTATTCTTTCGCATATATTGTAGTAGTTTTAGTGTGACAGGAGATTGAATATATTGTAGCATACGTTGTTTCCTTCTATACACTAATCAAAACCAGAAGAATAGTATATAAGAAACAAAATCAATATATTTAATAATAATGTAAAAATAGAAGAGGTTTCTAGACAAGGAAAAGTGAATATTCTAGACTCAATATAATATCCGAGAATCTGTAAATCAAGAATATTGAAAGAGAGCAAGTAAGAAAAACAAAACAAAGACATCATTGAAAAAGTATAGAGGGATCGAAAAGATTTTTTTTCATTACTTTTTTTCTGTTGTCAGTTTCCATATATTTTTTTTATTGAAGTCTAGCCAACCATGTCCTACATTATTTAATATGATATACAGTAAAAAAATCCTTATAGTATGTATATGTGTAATATGTATGTGCAGTTTTATGTACTATTTATTGTATATTTATTTTTTAACATAATATAAACTATATATGTATGTATGTTCATTTGTATGTAATGTGATAAAGTAGTTTTACATTGATCACATTAAAATCGATCGGACTTACATATAAGATTTTAGAATTTTTATCCTTTTTTTATGTTTTTGTTTTATTTTTACACAAATAAATAATTTTACACTAAAAATCTTGTGACAATGAATTGTGGAATTTAAATGTAATCTGTGTACGTATTTTAAAGTAAAAATACTTAAATATAGAGGGAGGTGGGGTGGTTGCAAATTCAATCAAGTGAAAAGTTAAGTGAAAATCCTTTTACAAATCCTTGTTTTTTTTATGTTCAAAGAAATAAAATTAATAAAATAGAAAATTTATTGTCGATTTTACCGACTTACGAGGAAAAAATTGAATATTTTTTCTTAAATTTAAAAATCAAATATTTTAAATTTAACGGGAGTTTTTTACAGGAGAAATACGAAAAAAATCTTTAATCGGAAATATGCTGCACCTAAAAGTATGCAATTTTCATTTGGCGAATCAAATCAAACATTTTTAATGTGTGCTGAAAATAAATTATTTAATGAAAACAATGATTTATTGAAAATGTAGTTATTATTTGTAATATTATTCCCTACTTCTATGAGGTAAACAAAAAATCAAGGGAACTATCAATATTAATATAACGCTCGAATTTAGTGATTAATTAAATAATATTGCTTAAGTTTCTGAAAGGAAGATATTTGGCGTTCTCTTCTTACTTTTACAGATATTTCGTTGTGCGCAAACAATGTGCATTTTTGGTCAATCATATCGTGTTGTAACCAACTCTGCCTGTAAGAATAATATATTTCGTCTACAAAATGTTAATTCCATATATGTGTATGAAAAAATGGAGTAGGGGGGGAGGAGGGAAAGTCTATAGTACAAAATATATTAAGGAATTGTTCGATTTTAGTACGTGTTCCGTTGCTTCTTTTATTTTAAGTGAAAAAGTAAATTGATTTTTATTAACTCTATTCTTTTTGAATTTTCATTTTTATTCCTTATATCATTATGGTTTTTCACTTTGTTCCTTGTAAAACTTCATTCCTTTCAAAAGTTGTAAGATCTCACATTGTACTGGTTGGTTTCTATTTGACCATTTATATATCTAATATGTGGTCTTTAAAGTTTTAAGAACATTCAATGTTCAATTTTATAGAAAATTGTATACACATAATATATTAAAAAAAAAAATTTTTTCCCAGAATTAGACGTGTTCTGAAAGTTTTTTCTTGATTATTTTATTGTATATTTTTTTTTTTTTTATAAAATTTCTTCTTAAAGATATAGAGAGGATTTATATTGAGTAGCTATTCGAGTACGTAAGCATATTATATATTTAGATAGATATAAATGGATAAAAAATATATATTCTTCGTTTTATAGTACACAATAATAATATAATTAGACAATGAGCTAATAAATAAGATACTTGTATATGATATTTGAAGGATATAAGAAGGGTAAAAAAGCATTGTAATTCGAACTTTTGAAGTATACAAGACCTAGAATACACAACCATATATCCAATTAAATTTATATCGTCTTTTATTAAAGGTTATTGAAACGTGAACTTTTGTTCTGTATTTTTCATTGTAATTTGTGATCATGAGAAGAAAATAATTTTTAGAATTAGAAAATTAATTTTCTTATAATGATGAAAAACTGTTTAAAAAAAATTGATAAATCACTTTGGAAATACAATGAACGCAAAATACAAAAACAATTTGTAAAAAAGTTAAACAATAAAATAAAATACTTTTTTAAAAATTGTTTAAGATTAAGTTCACGAAAAAATCACTGGAATATTACATATCAGGCTGAAATTATCTGATACAACTCAGATTTTGACTCAGACTCAGTTGATCGCTGTTCAAAACTTTCAAATAAAATCAATTGTCACTATTATTTTTAACTTTAAAAATTTGATAGCAATATTGTTGAGAATGTAGAGTAATTTTTATTATTTGCCATCGGACAAAATTTGATATTAAATAGAAATTACATATGTTATGGCTTTCCTCAGAATCAGACTAAATCTCAGATTTTTTCGTATATAAAAACAGTACGTAACACGTTTGTTATGCGTTTTTAAATTTTATAAAAATTAATAAACAAAAGAATCTTCTTAAAAAATTTCAGTTCATTGAGTCGAAAGAAGTGTAGTTTTATCAGATAACAGTTTAAGTTTTGAATAATGTAAACCAAAGTGTAATACAAATTTTGCAATTTAAAAACGTTCTCTACAGGTCAGGAGTCTTATCAAAATTGAAGAAATAAAATAAAAATAAATATTGGCCAACAAATTAAATAAAATAGTTCTTTTATTGTACAATGGATTTCGAAACATAACTACAGAAATATTTGAACTAACCTCTTTTCTTTTAAATTATTTTGCTACACACAAGGCAAAGCATTTTAAGTGTTAAATTGACTTAAAATGTTTAGCCTTGTTGGTAGCGATTTGATATTTGATTTACAATCTTATAACATAAATTATAATAAAACCGACTAATAATACTATTTTTAAAAATATCATAAACTTGAAAGGGTGTTGACGTGTTTAAGGACTCGAAAAAAAAGCAAGATTTCTTGGTATAATAAATTTATTTCTTAAATATTTAATTTGATAATTGAAATTGCTTTGCTGCATTAAGACTCTATAGCCACAAATATGCATTAACCATTTCAATAAAATAGAGTTAATTAAGCTTTTAACTAAAATTTTAATTGGGTGCCATAATTGAAAAAAGTAATTAAGTTGAAAAATTATTTCCGGCTTTTTTTTTTTCATAATATTTAAAATTAATTTGTGTATTATGTTGTTACGCGTGTTGATAAGAGACGCATTTTCCTTTTAATTAAAACAAAGAAGCAAAACATTTTCTTCTTACCATTTACAATTTAAAAAAAGCATTTTATTATAAATGAAAAATGACGCCACGCGTTTTAATTATAAAAACTAATTGCTACTGCGAAAATCAAGTTATTAAATTTTACTTAATTTAATTTTAAAATGTAATATTAAACCCGTATTTAAAATAGTAAACGAAAAAACTGAGAACCTTATTAATCATAATAACAGTAATAATAATAATAATAATAATAATTATTAAGTCATTTTCTTATCTGTTAAAATTTCTACAAGTTCTTTTCGTATATTTTTAAATAAAGTATACCGGTTGGTTCGTTCGCATGTAATTTAACGATAATCCGTGCAAAATTTATAGTT